TTTTTTTACAGTGACAAGCAGAGCTGAAAAGAACTGATTTATGTTTAATTACTGAAAATTATTAAATAGTGAGATCACTTAAAAGAACACAAACACTGTAAATGATTCAATGTAAAGAAACTGTGAAACAATGATGTGGTTTAAAAACATTTGTAGGAGGATCCAGCTGAAAATGGACCCCAGCCTAAAACCTGTCTCACATGTCAACACTGTGGTTGAGTCCACCTTCTCTCATTCGAGGTGGTTGTCAAAAATTAAGCCCATCCTATCTAGATGCCACCTAAAGACACTGATCCATGCATTTCTCACCTCTCGCCTGGATTTCTGAAATCCTCTTTGGATTGGAATTAGCCAAGCCTCCCTCTCACGTCTACAGCTGGTACAAAATGCTGCTGCACAATTTTTAACTGGTACAAGCAAACAAGAGCATATAATCCCAGTTTTAGCATCCCTTCACTTGACCTCCTGTTAAGGTTCGATCCATTGTAAAATTCTTTTATTTGTTTTTAAGTCTCTTAATGGTCTTGCCCCTTGTTGTTTGTCTGAGCTGCTTCACCCTTACATGCTATCATGTGCTCTTAGATCAGCTAGCCAGGTGTTTTTGACTCTCCCGAAGACATTTTATAAATCCAGAGGAGACAGAGCCTTTGCAGCTTTTGCTCCTAAAATGTGGAATGAGCTATAGCTGGAGGCCAGGCAGGCTCCATCTATCTCTGTTTTTAAAAACACACTTTTTCTCCTCGGCTTTGACCCAGTGTGAGTTTCTGTCTTAAGCTGTTTTCTTGTTTTAATGTGCTTTAGGAATACAGTGGAAGTGGAAGAAGACTTACCTGCGTGCCTGATGCGACTCAGATAGTTGAGGATGTTGTTAAACGCTGGGTTTGTCTCCTCACCTGTCTGGGAAAAGTTGGGCTTAAATGATCACTAAAATGCTCAAAATATTCCAGCTAATGAGTGTAAGATTTACACCTATTACTTTTTTATGATTATATGGATAGCTGCTGTGTGACAAAATTGTTTTATTACCACAATGAGAATTCCTAAAACAGCCAAACCGTCTTTCTGGGTCATCGCTGCAGACATGTTTGGGTAGAGCTCAGAGTTGTAGTGCACCACATGGAGCTGGAGGGAGTAGGAGGACACGCAGTATTTTTAAAAATTCACTCTGACAAGGAAGAAGGCGGCAAAGAGAGGCTTGGGTTTAAAACTGACAGACATAAAAAGCTGGATGCAAACTCAGTTCTGAAAAGCACTGAACTGTCTCATTATGCTGTAAAAGCCCAAATGCCAAGTTCATTTTTTAAAAATGATAATTGTCCTTTTCTTAGAGGTGTATCTATATTCAGCTCACCTTCATCCTTACTCCACTCTTTTACCTTCTTTCTTCTACCTTGTTCACTCTTTCCAAATTTTATTCAGTCACCTACTCGTGTCTTTCCCTCTTTTAAATTTTATATTTTTTATTTTTTTAAATTAACAGTAAATCAACACAAATGTTTCTTGGATGTCATGTCCCCCGTTAGCCTTTCGTCAGTGGGCTGTTTCATTATCACAGTAAACCAAAATTAAATCAACAAAAAAAGACACAAAGATTTAAATATAGAATATAAGAAGAGCTTTAAATATACTGATGCAATTCCAAAAATAAATAATTGTATGTGTTAAAATAACATTTATCTTTATAGGAGGATATATTATATATTTGTTATTAATATGTTATATTTAAACAAATATTTATATAATCTCAATCATCACTAAAAAATGAAAAACACAATCAAAAATAGTTTATCCGAGAATATAAAAAGTCTCTCATTTAATTGTGTCAATTTTTAGTTAAATGCTTACTGCATTTACTGCATGTGCCAAAGATAAATAGATACATTTTAAAAAAGAGAGTTGGGTTTTTTTTTTCACTTTTGATAGAAAAATAACTGAATTGACTGCTAATTCTCAAAGTGTTTTTCTATCAATCTTTGTCTGTTTTTTGACTATTACTTAATTAAAAAGTAATAGTTGTAGCACAGCCGTTTCACAAAGTAGTTTTATGCACACGAGAGGAAGCGATGAATTTCTTTGTGACTATTTCCAGCTGCAAATTCACACATTTACTGCAATTGTTGATACATATTGTGTGTAGTCACATATTTGTAACAGTCTGGGGGAAAAAAAAACCAACAATCAAGAAATCTGCCTGCCGTCATGCTGCCACAGAATTTGGTGTGACATGCACATTGCATGATTAATTGTGCATGTCACACAGATTCTAAGAAAACCTTTTTACACAAGTGTGTCTTATGCTAAATCAGCTGAAAAAAACTTTTATATTTATAAAAATATTTGTCTTTATATTTATAAATGAATGAATAAACATCTTTATACTGGTCCTTGTTGTTTATTTATTCATTTATTTATTATTATTATTATTTTTATATTACAAATCTGTTTAGTCCATGCTATGTTAAGTGACACATCATGTATTGTGGGTGAGTTTCATATTTACTTTAACTGTATGTGTGTGGTTACTATAGTTAACTGTCAGATGTGTTTAAATGTACCTCTGCATCTGCACTCAGTCCGTTAATGGTGTGTTCACTGCCTCCGAGACTTGGGCCGTCATTGCCCCAGTGGAGGTGCATTTGTATGGCTGTAAAGAACCACGGCAGCCCCCCGAGTCCCATCCATTCTGGCAGTTCAATCACCACTGATGGAGAAATAAACAACACTGGTGACTTGTTTCTAGGAAAGCGTACAATGAGAATCTACAATTTTAAAAGTGGATATAAAAATAGAAAGTTGCAAGTCATCTCTTATTAATCTCCTAAAGTAATTAATGAGCTATAAAAGTTTGCTGACCACATCTGACTCCAGTATAAACAGGCAGACTGTAAAACTGGAACAGGAAATGAGCTGGCTGCCAAAGTTACCTGTGTGTCCGTTATTGTACATAGTGAAAGGTTGGTTGCCGTGCTGGCTGTAGCCCAGTGGAGTCACAGGGATCAAACTGGGGTCATATTTAGCCTGCGTGGTCATCACATCAACTGGAGACTGTGAGGTACCACCACAATCCGGGAAATACTCTGACCACTCACTCTGGCCGACTAAGCCTTTGACAGAGGAAAGACGGTTACACTGATGTCATTCAATCACACAGCTCACTGGCTCAGTGAAAAGCTTCTATTGATGTATCTCTAATTATGCAGAACAATTATTCCTCTATGTGCTCTTTAGGTTCACAGGCTCGTGGCAAAAACATGCACACATCCAAATATTTATGTGCCGTTGATAAAAGCCACCACTGCTGACAGTGCAGGACAATCCTGAACCAGTTTTGTTAAAACAGTCTAAATAACTGAAAACTGTTTGTTCAGAGAAACATTTCTATTTCCACTGTATTGAATTAACTCTACTGTCAAACACTTAAAAAATAAAAAAAAAAGGCTGAAAAAATACAAACATGCAGGGAAATGGATCTAAACAATGAATCAAAGAAATCAGCACAGCATTAATTTTTATTAACCAGAGCAGTGGATCAACTGCTTAATCAATGTTGGTTGTCACCTGAGAGGATATATTCTAACCCAACTTTGAATGTCTGGTAATATTTATTTGTCCTAATATATTTATTTGTCACTCGTTTAACATTACGTAGTTGTTTAATTAACACAAATAATAGTAGCGCAGTGTCTTTTTTCTTATTTTGCATGACCACATTAACCATGTTGGGCTCTTACTTGTCAGACTCCTCATAAATCAGTGTGGGCATGATCTCATATTGAATGAGGAATGAGTAGGGAGTTGGAAAGACTTGTTTTTAGTTTTTTGGACACTTAGACTTTTGCTTTGTATGTGTTTCTTAGTGTTAGTGTTGGTTCTTGTAGCATGAATAGTGTTATTCTAGTGATGCTAGTGCCTCGTAAGCCTCAAATTGATCAAAACATATTAATACAAAGGTTACTGAGGGGCTACTCTGTTTATTACTTAGTAGATTTAAAATATCAACATTAAAAAACACAAAAGCAGTAATATGTGTTTTCTGATTACTAATGAAGACCTGATATGTTTTGATGATATTTGCTACTAAACAGCTAGTTAATGCAGATATCTGTGGTCAAAGAGACACAAAACATAAATAAACCATGTACAATAGATGTGCAATGATAGATAAGATTATAAAATTACTTCTAATTTAACAAAGTGCATTATGATTGTTGATGAGAGTCCATTTTTTCATAAAAAAACAGTGCTTTTTTAAAAACATAAATACTATATTTGTACCATGAGTAAATTCCTACAGCTATGTAAAAAAAAAAAAAGAAGATTAAAATTGCTTTTTTATATAAAATGTGATGCTTAATTTTGGATGGTTAACACAGATGATGGTAAATTCTGGAAAAACCATTGTTGTGGCACTGATAATTACTGACTTGATTATTGAATGACAATATCAATATTTTATATAATTATAACCTGATGAGCATGAAAAACTAATTAGTGTGTACAGAAATTATATTTTTCTGTACATTTTTATAATAATCTGTACAAGATTCAGATATTTTTGCTGGCTGCCATAGGAAATTACTATGAAATGTCGGTCCCCTGCTCACATAATATCTAATATCTGTTAATGTATAAAAGATTAAAGAGTATTAAGATTAATTATTTTTAAAGAATTTAATGGAAAGATGGACAGAGATACAATGAGAAAGAAACTGAGGGAGAGGAGGGTTTTGAGGCCTGGGTTCATTGAATTAAAAAGAGACTGGTCTATTCTATTGCATGATAAAAGAAACCTAGAAAAGAGGAAAGAGAAAGAGCGACATGTGAGTCAAAGAACCTGAATTTCAATTGCAAAGTGAGGAATGCTTTAGAAAACAGGCAGACCACTGACACCTTTTACACACAAAAATGTGAGGACTGTCATGTTATTTGCAGCTGTAGGTTCAATGATTCTGTGTTTAAAAGCACATTATACCTCTGCAAAACCAACACTTCCCCCGCATAGACACAGTAAATTCAGAAGGCTTTGTTTCCACTCAAACACACAGAAATTGAGGAATTGAGGAGGGAACTTGACATTAATTATGTAAACGCATACCACATGTCCACTCCCACTGCTTTCTCTGTATCTCCATGTAACCCCCACCTTGCCCTCTCTAATATGCCCACTGCCCCTCACTAGCTACTCTTCACAGCAAAGAACTTCAAAGTCTCGCAGCCCCCTAACTGGTTGTCATGGAGGTCTCCATGGTGACTGGAGGCGAAAATTATGACCCCCAAGCACCCACCCTACCTCTCAAAGCATGCTACAACTGGCCTGAATGCAGCTAAAAACAAAGACACATTGAGAGGCATGATGAGGAGATCACCGACTTTCCCTTAAATGTCTCTAAACTCCTGTGAAGACAAACCTCTGACATCAAGTGATTCTCCACTTCACAACCTTGTGCTTAATAAAACTGATTTTCTGCATTAGTAAACACACCGTATGTACTGCAACACAATCTTACAGTCGTCTGCCTCTATATCCAGCATAATAAGACCTAAACACACATGTATATACACCATCTGCCTCCTGGTACAGACTCTAAACTTTGCTGTGTATTCTGCATGTACTGTATATCAGTGCTGCTCTCCTGAATACATGCAAAGGGTGCTAATCTGTGCACCCCATTCATTCCCACAATGTCTTTGTCTGCAGCATAGGCAGCCAGTGTGCCCCAACAACACAATAAACACATAGGATATTGTGCGCTGCAACAATACACTGTGCGATTTGCTTTGCTTTAGCTTCATCCCGTCCCATCTCCCTCGCTCTGTCCAACACACTCATCTTCGTGCACCTGCCTCTCTCCCAGTCAGCCTCTCTCTCAGGCTTTTTCTAGCTTTCTTCCTTTCAACCGGCCTCCACCCACCCCTTCATCATCTCTGTGTGGCTGCTGCCCTCATGCCAGTTTGCTGAACTGTAACTAATACAGAGAAGGGGAAAAACAGAGGGAGAAAGGGTGGAAGATATGGGAGGGGAAGACCTAAATCCTACCCCAGTTACAGAAGCTTTTACCAGAATTTTAACATTTTAGAGATCCAGATTTAACATGTGCAGCCAAGCAGGTGAAAACCCTGCTTAGTTGTTTCATGCAAAACTTGTGCAAGTCTTTGATGTCATCAGATTATATTGCGTAGTGGATTACACATTAAACTGGACGAAATGTCTCTATTTGTTTTCAGGTCATTACAAAACTGACTTCAGGACTTTGCTCCTTATTTTTAAAGTGCTAAAAAAACCAACCAAACAAAAAAAATTTTGCCCCAGATATCTAACATACTCTAACCATAAATCTAGACAATGTTATGCTTACTATCACTCAATAAAAGAATCTGTTTTTTAATGAGCTACATTGGAAACTTGAACTTACCAGAGTAAGTCCAGGTGATTTCCTCTGGAAAAAAACAAAAACAAACAAAAGAGAAAAAATTCCTGAAATTTCTGTTTTGGTTAAACCAAATTTAAAAATTCACTTTGAAAAAAGAAAAGGCAGAGGATAAAAGATAAAAGATCAGGATCAGGAAATTACTACTTTTCTACTACTAAGGCTCAAACTGGAAAACCCAAACCATCAAATACCAGAATCAAAGCCAAAAATCTCACATGATGCCTGTTATTATGTTAATTTTCGCCTTACCAGCAGCGAGGGCAGGCGTCCACTGAAAAAACAGAAGTATTAGCAGCATAAAAAGACCCAAAGTGTCCATGTTATCCCGTTTTGCCCATACACAGAAGTGAATAAGAGCAGACTGAGAGATGAGGAACGAGCTAGAGAGAGAGAGAGAGAAAGAGAGGAGAGAAAGTGACGGGCTCCAGCAATCCCACCTGCCACAGCTCTGTTTAACAGCCAGAGTGTTGATGTCACATGCTGAATCCACTCAGGCACACAGTGCACTGGTCTCAGCAAGAGAGAGATGGACAGAAAGTATGAAAGAAGACAAAACGGGAAAATCAGGGGCGAGACGAGGCCCGGTTTAGGGATCTGTTAGTGAGAATTCATTCAGAGTTAGAGGTGGAAAAAGACAAAAAGACAGGATTGAGGAAATTGGGTAAAAAATAAAACGAAAGAATGAAAGATCTAACTGATTAGGGAAGAGGAGAAATGGAAATGTGTGAAGGGAAAAAAGATGTCTGCTGTTTTAAACATAAGTTTTGTTTGGTAGGTAGAACTTCTGTGAGTTGGATTTGAGTCATTTAACCACACCTTCTGCATGCATGCTTGTGTATGAACTAGTATTTTATTCTACGTCACATACAGAGGCAATTTAGACTCAACAGTTAGCTGAACACGCATGTCTGTGGAGCTCCTTGTTGATGCAGAAGAACTTCCTCTGGTGTCATTAGGCAAGATGAAAACTCTTTGAACAGCTGATTTGAACATGTAAAATTCACCAGAGGCCTGATAATCACGTTTCTACTTAGCACATCTAACCAAACATTAAACTGATCTTACTACTGAAACTTGTGAAGATTCTGATGCATTTAGTTACTGAACCTTAATCAATAGTTTGAATAATACCAATATTTCCTTTTTATGATGAAACTTTTATTTATCTGTTATAGCGTGACTCTCTTTTGCAAAAATACCCTGCCTAATGCAGGAGAATCAACAGTGTTTCCACAGACACACAGACACAAATACACACTGTGAAAATATAGATGAAAAATATACAAATTGTACGAGATAAAGTCCAAAAATGACCAAAAAGAATAAGCTTCAAAGCCCAAAATATCAAAGTAAGACCTAATTGTAAACTACACCCACCCCCAGATGTATTAGGATAAAAACAAGAAACCACAAATATTTTAGAAATCTGTCAAAAACGTGTTTAAAAGTAAAATTGATTTTATTGTTGTTGTTATTGTTATTAGTAGTAGTATTTATTGTTAGTATTTAGTTAGTTTATTTATTTATTAGGCAAATAAGAAAACCGAATTCACGGTTTCATGCCCAAATTTGAGCCGGCACACTGGACTTCTCTGAGAAATTAGAAATGAATCAAGCATAACTTTCAACCATTTCAACTACAAGTTAAACTGGGTGGTAATCTTAATAATTTTTTTAAACAATGCACATGTCTGAAGTAATTTCTTCCAGATCATTTCAAATCACATTAAATTTATTCGACAGCAGATTCCAAGGAATGCACAGCAAATTTGAAATCCCTTTTTCCAAATTTCCCAAACTCTCCAGACAGACAAAAGGAGCGGAGAGAAGGGCCAAAGATGACACCTTAACAAAACTTTTTCCCCATGCTAAATTTCATGGCATTACAGGGTTAATGATGTTGTGATGATCTATAGGAGGCAAAATGACAAGAGCTATGCTATTGTTCACAAACTTTATGATCCCACATCAGCTGTAAAACCACATTCTATGAAATGAATGATGTTGAGCTGCTTTACATTGGGCAAGAATATAGATGACAAGAGGAAAGAAAAGTTAAAAAGAAGAAGAAAGGAGAAAAAGGAGGACATACAGGCAAAGAATAAAGGTGTTTAGTACAGTCAGGAGATGTGGATGAGTGAAAAACAGAAAGCTGAGAAGACAAACAAGCGCTGGTTCTCATACTAGTATTGCTAGTCAACCTTCTTCTATGTTTCGTTTATCAAAAACCCCCAAAAAGGTCAATAAAAGTGCAGTTCTGATTTTATTGCATCACCCCTCCATCTTCTCCCATCCTACGGCTCTGCCTCTCCACCCTCGCTCGGCCTCTCACTCCGCACTCATTCTTTTATCCTCTTCCCTCCTTTCCTCTTTGACTCCAGTCAAAGATTGTCGTCCACTTTTGCTTTTTCCTCAGCTGTGACTGTGTGTGTCAGCAGCCTGCAGGTGTGATCAATTTTCTTGTCTTTGTGACTTTGTTCACATGTGACTGCATGCATGGCTGTGTGGTGTGTATGTGCATGTCATATATGAGGTTTAGCCACAGTCAAATACTTGACTGGAGGTCACCCTCTGTGACCACAGTGTGTCCTTAAAGGCTCCGCAGTTTATTAACAATATGGTAAATGGTGTATGGCCTGTATTTGTATAGCGCTTTACTAGTCCCTAAAGACCCCAAAGCGCTTTACACATCCAGTCATCCACCCATTCACACACACATTCACACACTGGTGATGGCAAGCTACATTGTAGCCACAGCCACCCTGGGGCGCACTGACAGAGGCGATATGGTGTCAGATTTATGCGTTTTATTGTTTTCTATTGTTTTCTTCTTGATTGACTGAATGGCAACAGTAGCACAGTGTTTCTCTGAGCATGAAAAAACATGAAGTTTGATGATTTCTTCATAGAAGAATGCCTGTCACAAACTGAATCAACAACAAATTCATTACAAAACTAAATTACAAACAACGAAAAAACTGGTTCTTTCACCTGCTGCAGCAAAATTATGGAAAGATTACAGATTTTTTTGGTTTGCAAGGCCTCTCTTTGAATGCAATCTACTCTCAACACTGGCAGTTCTTTGGAACTGATACTCTGACTTTTGTTATGAAATAATAATAATAATAATAATGCCAGTTTTTTTTTTTAATAACTTACTCATGCTTCATACAAACAATATTTGTTATTGAGGTGCAATTGATGCAACTCTGCTTTGTACTTTTATCAGTCACATCTTGGAGATCATTCACAGTGCAGTTGACATTGGGGGCCATTGATTTAAGTGCCTTGAGGCGACTTTTGTTGTGATTTGGCGCTATATAAATAAAATTGAATTGAATTGAATTGAATTGATTTTCAAATGTTCGTCCAATATATAACCGACAGCTGTTTCCTGTTCTTGTCAGACAGGAGTGGCCTCCACTGTGCTCTTCTGTTGCTGTAGCAGATCTGCTTCAAAGTCAGATGTGTTATGATTTGAAAGATGCGCTCCTGCACACTCCTGCAACCACTCGTGTTTATAACGAGTGGTTGACTGAGTTACTGTTGCTGTTCTGCTTAAAATCTTCTGGCCGTTCTTCTCTGACCTCTGACATCAACAAGATATTTTCACCCAGCAAACTGCTGCTCGCTTGATATTTTCTCATTTCAGACCATTCCCAATCCCAGCAGGTCAGCAGTATCTGAAACAATTAGACCAGTAGCTGTGCCACTTTTATTCCCCTTTCTTCTTGATGCTTGGTTTGAACTTGATCAGACTCTACTGACCATGTCTACATGCCTGAATTTGAATTTCTGACCTGTGATTGGTTGATTAGGTATTTGCATTAATGAGTAACAAAGTGGCTGCTGAATGTATGTAGTGTGACTGTAATGAACTATACAGTGGCTGCTGCTATGTTCATGGATTCTACATATTTTCTTTGTCTATTTTCTGATGCATATAGTTTCACGAGTATCATTTTGCTTTTCTCCATTTAAGCAGTTTTGTAAAATTTCAAGTACATTGTTCACATTTCGTTTTTTGTGCCTGAAATGTTTTTACTCTACATTAGGGCTACATTTTTGCTGTACTCCATCCAAAGTCAGTAAGGTGCAGATAAAAGTAAAAGAAAGCCCTTTTGTTCACTGTTTTGTCGTGTTTCATAATAAATGCCACAGCAACCCAATATGTCAGTGGACACACTTTGAGTAGATTGGCTACTTTGAAAAAAATGACCAGTAAAATTTCTTAAACCAGAAACAGACTCAATGTTACTGCAAAGAAAATATATGTACAAAAGCTGTTTATACACAGAGTTATCTCTATGTCCCACATAAAAAGATAACCAAGCTAAAAGCATCCCAGTGCGATCTTTACTTAGATATTAAAGGTATCCACATTTTGTAACTAAAAAAAAAAAAGTTTCAAGGCTTGTCTGTGTTTCCATATCTGCCGATCTGGTTACAAGCCCCTAATTAACTTGAAGAGACCACTAAAGGCCCACATGACTGCTTTGTTATGGTCCATAAACTTAACCCCTGGAGGTCTCCTGGATCCATTTCCAAGCATTAACTTCAAGGTTAAGTAATTTATTTGTGGTTCTCTCATGGATTCTGATTTTAAATAGAAAAACATTTTTTAAAAACCAGAACACGAAATTCCCATTTCTCATCTGGGGTCTTTCTGACTTTACTGTGTTTCTTCATCACGTTGGTGTAAGTCTCACATCAGGAGTGTCACTGTCACCACGTCTCATATCACAGTCTCATCTGTGCAAGTCAGTAAAACAGTCTAAACAAAGGATGTCAAACTCCTTTTACAATGAGGGCCACATACAGCCCACTTGGATCTTCAGTGGGGCAGATGAGTGAAACTACTCTTTCTGTCAGTGTAAACATCTTTAATTACACATTTAATCCCTGAGATCTTTTAATATAAGATAAATAAGTGCAGTATCTACAGCAGGTCTTGGTTTATCTTCATGATAAATGTGTAAATGTATGAAATGTAAACTACTATCCTGTAGTTTTAAAAGATCAAGTTTTTGTTGATTGATGAACATTTTCTCTTTTTTTATACTGACATTTTTATATTAGACAGTAAAAAACTGGAACTTTTCCTGTTTATCTTTTAGGTAACTGTATACCTAAAAGAGTGTGACAAAGTCACACTACATATGTGTGTAGGTCATGCTTGCATGTAATAACAGTGTTATAGCATGCACGTGTGACACAAGACTGAGAATATGTGTTTGTAGCTGCTTCGACTGAACCTCTTCTGAGACCGTGTTTATATTTGCTTTCAACTGAAGAGCATATTCACTGCTACCACTGACAGCATTTAACGGCCTTGCTGTTTCATGCATATTTTAAAAACTTGAGAAGTGATTTGATTGAAAACACTAATGCAATGCTTCACAGCTTTCATAAGCGAGAGATCTGTATTTCTTTCTGGAAAACAACAATTTGATCAGTTGTGCCATTCAAATGAGAAACACATCAACACAATGACTATCATCTTTAGCAGTGAAGCATGTGTAAAACCAATAGCAGTGTGTACAAATACTATGAGAAAGCCTGATGTGGGTTCTCACTGGTGTGAGACTGATGTGAGAATGGCGTCAAAATGATCAATAAAAACTGTAATTAAAAAAAGATGTTCGGTGTGAACACCAGGGGGAGCCCTATCCATGTGACAAATTTTGGGCTTAACGAGCAGAAAATACACCCTAAAAGTAAATGTTATCGTCACTTCTTCCTGCAACACTGGAAAGATCGTTACAATCTTGGAACTGCTCCAAAGATGCCGAATAAGGAAACATCGACATTTATTTAGGTGAAAAATAGCGAATCCCAAAAATAAATAAATAAACTAGTGAAAACAGAAAGACTGAGACCACGTGAATCCACTGCTTCACTGTGAACCGCAAGCGCTACCAATTAAAGTCTCCACGCTCTGATTAGCTGCACAACTACTTTTAAACTGGATATAAATCGCCCTTTAGGGAACAGTTCCCTTTAAAACCTCAGAGTCAATCCAAGCAAGAGTCTTTTGATCTAGATTACATCACATTGTGAATTCAAGGATAAACTTCAAAGATAAAACTGAAAAGGTTACATCACTTACTGCATCAAGCATAGAAACAACAGGATATAGAATTTAATTAATAAAATAACTGATTGCAACGATTTATCCCTTCAGATAAACAAATGTGTGGGGAAAAAATCCCACCAGGTCTGCTCATAAGTGTTTGAATTATATGCTATTTATGTTTGTTGTTGTTTTTTCGTGAAACTCTGATCTGTTCTCTTCCTCGGGTTGTTGACAGCGGTTTGTGTGACTCGTGACTATTGTTTCTAACATCTCTGGCACTGATCTCGCGATTTTAGTTTTCTCCACCTCCGCTGTCTGTCTCTCAGCTCCATCCTTTCACACAGTGCACCGGAGCGCTCAAACGTGAAGCACTTCAGCCAAATTATGCAACACTGGTAACACTTGCCGCTCTCCCATTGGCTGCTGAGTCTTCCACTTGGAGGTGTGGCTAAAGTGCTTCCACCTGCCATTTGCCATGTCTGTGCCGAGGGCGTGTCTGCCGGTTTCATTCACAAATCTAGCAGCGGAGCGTCTCTCCGACATGTGAAGATCCCTCTGCTTATTCTGTGGCACACATGTCTGCTCCGCAGATGTACGCCTGCAGCCTGAACAGAAGATGGATTCTGACTAGTTCTGAATGAAACTGTAATGTTTGTGGTGACAGCAACAAATATTACTACCATAATGGTGTCCTTTAGCACTTGTGTGATAGTAACATATGAAAAGGAGTCTAGAGAAATGTCCGTGTTAAAGACACGAGGCTTAAAATAAATGTTGGATGTCGGTAATCTTCGAGCCCTCGGGCAGCAGTTCATTAAAAACAGGTGGGATCCTTTCACAGAAATTACTGCATCAGCTCAGGAACACTTCCACAAATTATTGTCTGTTCACATCCACAAATTTTCTTTTTTTCTTAAAAAAAACCCCCACATATGGCTTATATGTGAACATAATCCAGAAACACTGCTATCTTCTCTGTGCTAACCCTCATTTAAAATGTACTCAGGCAAGGATGTTAGGCAAATCAAAATTTGAAGTTTTGTTTGGAAAAATGAACACAGCATCCCACAACTAAAGAGGAGAGAGAACATCCAGTTCATTATCAGCAGTCAGTCAAAAAATCCTGCATCTCTGATGGTGGGTGCATTGGTGCCAATGGAATTGAGAGTTTGCAAATGTGGAAAGGCACCATCAATGCTGAAAGACATATAAAGCTTTTAGAGCAGCATATACTTCCATCCAGACCACATCTACTCCAGAGAAGGCCTTGCACTTTTCAGCAACATGCTGCATCTATTGCAGCAGCATGACTTTGTAGTAGAAGACTCTAGGTTTTAAACTTGCCTGCCTGCAGTCCTGCCTTCTACAAATAGTCAATACATCATGAAATTAAAAGTACAACAAAGAAGATCCAGGACTTTTTGAGCAGCTAGAATCCTATATCAGACGGGAAAGGGACGTTATTCCTCTCCCAAAAGTCCAAAAACTGGTCTCCTTAGTTCCCAGAGGTTTACACACTGTTGTAAACGTGGCACCCCATCCCAACTTTTTTGAGACATGTTGCTGCTATCAAATTCAAAATGAGCTGATATTATTCTTGGGTTTAAATATTTGATATGTTTTCTGTGTTCCACTGTGAATAGAACAATTCAATTGAATAGAACAAACAACAATTTGAAACAAAGTTTAGTAGTACTAAGCAGTTTCTGCCTGTTCTGCAATGAAAAGAAATGGAGGACAAAGATACAAAGTGTGCAAAGAGTGTATACTGCAAACTGTCTCCACTTTATATTGCAGCTCTTTGTGTCTTTGTCTTCCATTAGACCAATGACTTTTCAGTCCTAGTGTCTGATTCTCACCTCACCAAACAGGAACTTCAACTTTCACTACCTAAACATTTAAATGCTTTCACACTGAGTAAGAATTTATGTAGAAATGTCTTCTACGTAAAGTAATCGTGTAAATGTTTAATTTAGCTTCTATAATTAAGCGCTCTCACATCCCTCTTTGTTTCCCTCTAAATCATCTGCTGGAATTTGAGGACATGAGCTCCAAAATCAAACAAATCATTTACCCCATATTGTAACTTCAGAGCCAACAGAATCATTTTTATTACATTCATGCAATAGTCAGTTTTTACTACAAACAACCCAATGGAGCAATGCTCTGATTTCCACCTCAGGGACCGGTTTGACACACTGAACTTTGACCCACTTAATTGACAAACACATCTTCCATAGATGATACTTGAGCTTGTCAATACAAGGAATGATATTGAAGAGATAAAGAGAAAAAAAAAACATGGCAGCCAAGTGGAGGATGGGATTTGAGGGGGATGGTCTTCAGCAAGCATGAACTTGAAGTAGGTTCAGTGAGTTCATGTGCTGTAGAGGAATGCTCACGTAGCACACATACGACCTTTCCCCTGGTTTTCTTTTTGCCAAAGTTCACCTGTTATTGTATCCTGACAATAAGAGGGTCCTGTTTGCGCACCTGATGTTAAGGTTACTAAATACTGAGGGAGTTGACATAGTTGCAGGCCTCGAAGATGGTAATTGTCAATCTAACAAGGACACAGCCTGTTGTGTGCATTGAGGAGGGTCAGTGGGTTCATGTGTATGTTAAGCATGGCAGTGGGGGAAGGGTATAGGCCGTTTATCATAGGCTGAAACATGCTGGGCATTTCGGATCTAAAAATACAAGTCAAAGCCAGTAAAATCGTGGCCTTACAATAAAGCCTAATGAGGAGAGAAACCAGCAATACGATAAGTATGTAGCATGTGACAAGATCATGTGTATGATCCATGTACGTTGGTATAATGCATTGCACGTTTCAGAGGGAGGGTCAGTGAGTTCGCTGCTGTAAGGCTATACATCATGGTACTGGGAGGGGATTTGTTATCTGTATGACTGCATGCAGCAGTGTGTGTTTTTAACTTAAACATGAAATGACACTGACACAAAGCAGGCTATCACACTTTAAATACGATATTTTATTGTTGGAAAATTTATCACCTCAGCTCTCCTTCCTACTTTCATCCTCTGAATTCCAGTTTGTGACACTAGACAAACGAGTTGGTAAGCTTTAAACTGAGGAAAATACAAAAATGTTCACATGAGATTATGTAAAACTGCAAGAAATTTAGCAAATGAACAATGTCCGTCTAATATTGCGAGTTATGTAAGCCAAGATATCTCAGGGTGAAAGAATTGCACAGCCTTGTCCAGGCAGAGTGACCATCATTATAAGAAATGTGATTTTCTAGTCTGTTCTGGGCAATATAATGAAAAACGTCGCCCACTGTTTGTTTAGTTATTATTTTACCTTTGAGAGGTTTTATTTGCAAGCGGTTTTCGTGCTCCATGCGTGCCTTCTGCTAAACCTCTCAAGTCCCTTGTTATATTTATTTATTTATTTGTTTATTTAGCGTTCTTACGCTCTCGGTATGAGTAATTTTTGCGCACATCTCATGCATAGAACATACTGTGCACGTCTCGGGCCGACGTGCGTGCCTGCGTGTGTTTACACCCGCTCGCTATAGTAGAGCAGCCCAGCCCAGACGCCACACTCACGGGCGACACATGAGTGGGCAGGACCGTGAGTGCCGGGGCAGCCGTCCAGTCAGCGGAGATCACTGCGATCACTGGCTGAAAGGTTCAGCCAATGGCGCGCGCCGCCGTCGACACGGCAGCCAATGGAGTGCGCGCAAAGCGTGGGCACGTGGATTTGCGCACATGTTGACGCTTGTAAACTGCCGAGAGAAAGAGGCAGCACAGGCACAGACCGATGAACGGCAGGCCGGGTGGTGTGTGTGTGTATATGTGTGTGTGACAGAGAGGTGATGCTCGGCGTCCCGATGCTGCTCCAGCCTCGGAGTGTGGACTGACGGACCAAAAGTAGAAGACAGAGCCGTCCTCCACTATTATTAAAATCAGCTGTTATTTTTAAAAGCGTTTTACTGAAGGTAAGAATTTTTAAAAGCATTTTTTTTCTTTTTTGTTTGCCGAAGTTGGCATCTTAGCCTGAAGGAATTTCCTGTCCTGTGCGTACCATCCCGGTATAATTTTAATATATCCTAAAGCTGTGTTGCCTAACGATAAATTGCTTTTAAACAATAAAATGATTGTTCAGATTTTCCTTCATGTTTAAGACAAGTAACTGCTTTGGATTTATGTTAGTGTCTGATAGACTGAACGGGTTTAGATGGCCTGAATGTACAGTTCTATTAGTTTCTCTTGCTGGCGTGGTGGTGGTGGGCACAGACACAGGCCGGCAGAAAACACCTGAGTCGCAGCCTCATGGTCTACCTGTGCAGGCTGTGGCAACACATCCACCAATCCAATCCTACCGCATCTCCATCCAGCTGGGGCTATAAACTAAGTAAGGGGTTGTACATAAACAGAAATAGCATCAGATTACCTCACGGTATTTGAAGCTGTTGACTCTTTCACGTTAACAACGTGCCATTTGGTTTGACAGCCACCAGACATAAAATGTAAATGGCAAAGCACGCTGTCTGAGCGTTTCTTTCTCCTTTTGCGTTTGTGTCAGTCTCCTTCATTTGTGAGTGACTTTTGACTTTATTTTTCTGACGCTGATAAAGAGTTCTGTTGGTGTATTTCATTGCTGAGCATTTCCCAGTTTCCCCTGAAATCTCCCCCTCGGTATTGGTGGGATCAGAGATTACACAAGCTGAGAAAGAAAGGGGGAGAAAAACAAACAGATGCGAGAAAGGCACATGGCCAGAGATGCAGAATGTGAAAATGTGAGTAAAAGGAGGAGGAAGAGGGCTTGGTTTGGAGAGGAAAGGAAGAGGGGGCACCGGGCTTGTGTGCATAACGAACAGGATGAGCTGAAGGCAGAGCGGAGAGGGATGAGAAGCATACAGAAATACAGCCGAGAGGAAAGAGAGTGGTTTGCATGACTGTGTGTGTGTGTGTGTGTGTGTGAGTGAATCCAAGGGGGGATGGAGCGCAAGCCTGAGACAGAGAGGAGGGGCTAGAGAGAGCACTGGAGGCTGTGGCAAAGAGAGAGAGCAGGCCTATTCCGATTTCACTACTCTACAAGCTCCCATCCCCCTCACACATTTTACTCTCCTACAGCCTCCAATCTCCTCAATGGAAGCCAGACATGCACTACTATTGTGTGCCTACTGCCTACCCCCAGTCCCAAACTAGGGCAGTGCTATACCCACCATTTTGAGTAATAGGGGTTATTATTTTTGGTAGCGAGGTAGGAAAATGGAGTATTGCCAAATGCTAAGAACTGAACTTCCTCTCACTTCAGACGTGCTGGTTTTCAATGTTCACCAAAGCCACACTTGTGTTTCTTTCCGTCATCCTAATCTTTGAGCTATCTTTCTGTCCCGATAGGGATGCAGTCGCAGGGCAGCACCTCCTCTCAGCCCTCCTTTGATTCCCTGAGCTCCAGTGACAGCCTCTTGTTCAGCGATTCAGAGCAGGCAGAGGACGACACAGACGTCTTCCTGACAGACAGCTCTCCCTCTGTCATCATCGGGGGGTCGGGCGGCGCGGCAGCAAGTGGAAATGGGGGGTCAGACAGTCCCGGGTCACAGTGGACGTGTGACGGCTTCACCGACAAAGAGGAAGAGGAGGACTCGTACAGGTCACACAGCGGCGGCAAAGTGGCTCACGTCAGCCTGGGGAAGACTGATCCGGCGAGGCAGACCGCAAAATCACAAGGAGATCTGCTGTTTGCTCAGAAGGTAAGAAAGGTGATGGGCAGAAAAGGAGAGTGATGAGAAGAGGGCTGACATAGCAGTGTGCGTGCAAAGGAAAGCCCAGCAGACAGCCAAGCCTAACCAAAACCAACTCGTAATCTGTCTTCCCTCCTCCTCTGTCAGTGTGCTGAGCTGCAGGGTTTCATCAGGCCCCTGCTAGAGCTGCTGAATGGACTGAAGAGGGGCCGATTTGACCGGGGTAAGCATCCTTACTTCACCGTCTTCTGGGAGGCAAGTGTGTGTGTGTGCGCTCGCTGGCTGCTGCAGTTGTTGAGGCTGAATACAGGTTTACATGATCTAAGTGGCCTCAGTCCATTGAAATAGTAAGTTTTCCTTCGAGCAGTAGTCTGTATTGATGTAGCCTATCGATCCAGTCCACAGTGCTGTGTGTGTGTGTGTGTGTGTGTGTGTGTGTTTGTGTGAAGCGAGTCTTCTCGCTGACTCAGTAGCTTGCAAGAGTTTACCGATATTATGAGTTAGAGCGTGTGCGCATGTGTGAGACCGTGCATGCCCACATATGCATTCATTCAGTGTGAATGCTGACTGAAGGATTACGTTCTTTTGATTGACAGGCTTGAGTAGTTTCCAGCAGAGCGTGGCGATGGATCGTATCCAGAGGATTGTGGGGGTTTTACAGAGACCTGACTGCGGGTAGGATGTCATCCAAATTGTCCCACCATCCATCAGCCCTCTTTTTCTCACTCTTATCAAGTCCTGCCATCATGAGATGTTTTAGTTGCATTTAAGAATTATTATCTTTATTAAACTGTGAGTTGATCTTAGATATCCTGCCTCACCGTGCACTGCATGTTTTATTGAACAGTCCTCAGGCAGGTAGAGTTACAGATTTCACTGTCAGTGCAGAGAAACACCAAACTTCAGATGAAATTTTACCTAGATCTCTGCGCAGGATCATAAATATCCACGCCTGTTCCTACTCAGCAGCAAAGTCGTATTCCTATCTGCTCCTCACCTAAATTTTGTTCCTCTTTCTACATCATAGGGAGAAGTATCTGAACACTCTGCTCCAGGTGGAGATGATGCTAAAACTTTGGTTTCCCCAAATTCCCACTCAGCCTGTGTCTACAGCCTCCAGTGTCGCCACATCCCCTGCCCGATCCCTCCAGGAAGCTTCCGGCTCCACCCCGCCGCACAAACACAGGGATCAGTTACATATTCCCGTTAAGGTGAGGACACACATTCCTGACTTCTTGCTAATACACATAAACATTTCTCCACCCCACCAGGACCACAAATTTTACAGAAACCTCCCGTTCATATTCTGAAAATTACTCTCCTGTTTATTTTCCAGAAGCGCAGACTCAGCTGGACGGGTACAGACTCTCCCACGCCTTCCCCTGTACCTCTCAAGTCTCCCTATATCAGCACAGGAGAAAACAGGGTGAAGTCTGATCGCAGAGAAGGTAGACCTTCTTCCTCCCCATCACTAGCAGCTGATTCAAATCAGAGTTTGGCACATGCAGCCAGCAGCAGTCAGCTAACTGATGACAAAAATGACGGAAAAGACAGAGAAGGCAAGGAACCAGGGAAGGTGTCGAAGTACCAAGCGGGTCAGAGCTCTAAGCCGAGCCTCACGTGGGTTCATGTTGCGCCCATCCTGTCCCCGCGAAATACTTGCCTCTCACACGATGCCCTCACAGCCAGCAGGAGGGGGAGCCCGGCTACACAAGACAGCTCCATCTCCTCCACCACACCTTACAAGCATCCCAAAAATCTGAAGAAGCCAATCCGGTGCCAAAGCCAGCCTGTTGCTGGACAGCAGAGTGAGAGGGGGACCACTGAGACAACTCCGGGTGAAAGCCAGTCTCCTCCTGTTACACTTAAGCCTTTGCCTGGGGCGTGTCCCACCAGCTTGAAGACCTGATGTACTGAATCAGCAAAAGAACTGGCAGCCTTGCTTTGTTACACCACTGGGCTAAAAGCTGCTGCGACAGGAAGAAGGGAAGAGGCTGAAGGCCTGTGATTATACTTGCATTAATGAGAGGAAGTGAGGAAAGAATTGTTGGTGATAGATGTTGAAAACAATGACGGATAAAAACATAACCTATCATCCAGACCACAGTTAAAACAGACATTTCAAACAACAGGACATAAACAAGAACCGTTATCACACTTATAATCGAAACTCGTGCGGAAAGGTGGTTGTCAAGGTTCAAAAGCAATGTACAGGTAACGAGAGACACTCTAGAGTATTTAGAGGAGTAAATGATCGCTCCTCTTCAGCATGAAGGCAATCGATACAAAAAGAAGAAATATTTATGTAGGTGACTGTTTCAGCAGACATCTAACTTGAAAGAAACTGTCCGAAAATGGAACAGCCGATGTCAGTAATCAAAATAAAACCTTCCAGTGTTTATTTTGATGTGGTTGATGAGTGAGCTGATTCTAGTCTTGCAGCAGAAGACACGTTTTTCTCTACGTTCTTTTGAATGGCTTGAAGAGGAAAAAGCGACACTGGGGTAACTAAAAAAATCTTGTTGCTAGTGATGTGAGAAATGAGGTGTAGTGCGTGCCGTGTCGGAGCCATTGGAGACGGTGGAAAAATGACATCACAACTCACGATTGTAATCCAAGAATTGTTTGGACACTCGGCTGGCAGATCATCAGCATCGAGCAGGAGTGACATCGCAGCGACCGGTGGTCACATAACTTTTCCTGTAATGCCGTGGATCAGATGTTTCCGACGGCAAACCGACTGGCAATCAGTCTCATTACAATCCAAGACTTTTAATAGACCAGCGTATGGAGTTAACAAGGACCACTAAAAGACATATGTCTCTTGATTCAATTACACAGTTAATTTATTCATGTGTTGATCTGATACTGCATCTATTTATTGTTTGTATTTATTGGGCAGCTTATCACCTGCTGTGCGCTTGCATAGTTTGGCCTACAGTTCTTTTGAGGTGACTGGGAAGATGCTGTTGACATTTTTTGTGTTTTTTATTGCTATCGTGAGGAGGGCAAAACAAAAAGGACGTGAAATCTTATGATTGGTCTCTTGGACTACTGTGCCTTTTTTACCAAATAGGATGTGTTTTTCAAAAAAAAAAAAAAAAAAGCATTCGGTGCTCTCAGTGCATTCATACTGTGTTTTGATTGTTTGCATGTGTTTCACAAAAGCAGTGCACAGTCAAACGCGAAAGCCAACGTGTAGTCATCCTTCTAAAATCGCACACAGCTTAAAAAACCAACATCATCAACTGTGATTCTTTAAAAAAAAAAAATGTCATCCAGCTCTTATATCCCAACATCTACAGCTCACCTGAATGGCCTGCATCTCTGACTAATACACACACCAACAGCAGTGGCTACTATTTGTCATGTAGTATTTAAGTGTCTAGCCTTCCTTTGGGGCTTTTCTTTAGGTTCTGATCAGGAGAGAAACCGACTGAACGGCACTTAAAGATGGTGCTCTTGAAAACTTGAAAACATGGTGAAAATATAAATGTAAGGGAAGAAATCTTTCTTTGCGCCACTCTCTACCGCTGCTATCATCGTGCTGATTTACATGTATCATTGAATCATGCTCTTTAATTGGAAATCCACTCACAGCATTCATTTAAATGTTGAAGGGGTTCTTAGTAACCTGACTGGATTAATCTATATTGTAAATATTTGGACTGATATTTTTGAATTGGTGTGAGAGGTTCATATGTTATATACATAACTACAAATGGGGTGGGGGGGGGGTTGCATTACTAGACTCCTCCAAAAAGCACCACACGTGAACACAGAGCCACCGGCAGCCAACATGTTACTGCCTGTTTGTTTTTGTTGTTTTTCTCAGTACGGAGTGTACAAACCCTCAGTCACTCTTATCCTGCTACAATACGCCAGATGTTGACTCTTGATCAGAGGCTGGGGGTGTCTTCCACCACACTCCTGTTTTGGTTTTGGTTTTTTTTATACATTTGTGGTATGACAGAGAAGCCAATTGCACTTATTTTTCATTATGTCCTTTTTCATGTATGTTTTCTACTGCAGCGACCACTGCTTATTGGTCAGAAATAATGTCTTGTTTATTTCAGCTGCCTTCTTCTTCTACTACTACAACTACTTATTACATTTTAAAAGCTGACTGTAGTTCCACCTCGCCTCCCTTCCCCCACTCTGCTGCACTCGTCTGCCCCTGCCCTCTCCTCTCCTTTATCTCCCTCAAGCCCGTTAGTATATTTTCTTTCTAAACTAAACTCTGTCTTTCACTCACCCCATTTCTATGTGATATTACACTCTTTTTTTTAAATATTGATACAATCAAGGATAAAAAAAAAACTTTTAATAAATGAAACCAATTTTTGAAAGATGAAACTGCCTGTGTGCTTGTTTACGCAAATCTTCATGCATTTATTTTGTTTTCTTTTGATTATGCAGCTCCCGATTTGGAAAGCAGCTTTTAATAAACAGATGTGTGACTCGATGGGGTGCAGATTTACAGACTGTATATTCTGAAGGCTGCGTGAGTGCACGAGTGAGTGAGTGGGGGTGAGGCGGAGACGATGAAGGCAGGAAGAAGAGGAGGGGCAGTGGGGCGGTGAGACTACAGCCTCTGTAATCTGACTGAGAGAGGTAGGGGGGCTGGCTGATCCTCCAACCAGCTGCTACATCAGAGTCCAAACACTACTTTAGCTTATATGTGTGCTCATGTGAGAGTGTTATAATGAGTAAATACCTTCTGGAGGTTAGCAGAGACGAGTTAGTGGTCTCTGTAGCGCGGTCCTGCATTTCACAAGAAAACAATTACCCACAGGCTCAAGTCTGATCTCTGCAGGCGACCACCGAGATTTTTAATTCCCTCTAGAAAAAAAAAAAAAATCAAAAGGTGAGAATGAAAAATTGAGTGGCGCGGCGCTGCATCACCCACACCGAACGTGATGAAAGAAAATAAAAAAAATTCTGATAACCCAAACCCACACTGGGAGGTTGCTACGAGTAATGTTATGTAACAAAATGTGAGTTTTGCTTCAAAATAAAGAGAAAGTAAAAACTTTAAAGTTATGAAGCTGTGTACTAATTTAACTTCAGTCTGTCTTTTTTGTTGTTGTTTTTTTCAAAAAACATTGCTTCTTTTATCCTTTAATATTTAAATCTGGACTGGGAAGTTCTGATTCTGTTAATTTCACCAATTCTCAAAGAAAAATCTATGACCAGAAAATCAGACGCGACAATAGATTTTACACTGCATAAGGAGCAGAACTGGTAATTTCATGTATTAATCATCATTGCACTCTCTTTCTCCTTCGCCCAGCATCATATCCTTAGATACTGCATGCACACCAGGATGAGAGGGGCAAATTTTGGGAGGGTGTGGTTTTGACTTCTCTCTCATGCCATGCGGCACGTATGCATGCATGCATGCGCTGCTCCCCCCGTCGCACGCTCTGACACACTGACTGGCTGATTTGGTGATGGGCTTGTCTCTGACACAGTGACTATGCTACGTTACAACAACACAGACAGCCCTCCCTGCCTCCACCCTCCCTCCCCCTCGGCCCCCCCTTGTATCCATGCAGTTTTTAGCAGAAAAAGCCCTTGCCCTCCATCTCCCCACCGCTGCTATTCTCCCCCCCTCTTTCTACTCCGGAGGATGGAAACGAGGGGCAAGAGGAAAAGGACGAGAAGAGGATGTGTGGAGGGCACAGGGACGAAACTTGACCTCGCTACAGTTTTGAGAACACTTTTTTTAAACAAACAAAATATGTATAATTGTTCCTTTTCTCCCCAAAAAAGCTACATTTGTTTTGTGTTTAATCATTCAGTTGGATTATAATATTCTGTTTGCGCAGTATGTTTTCACAGAATTAACATTACAGCACTGTTCACGTTCAAGTTGTTTTCACTTCTCCGAGCATGTGTTGGCTTAATTTAGCATGTGTGTGTCCATCAATAGGATTGCACATAATGAACTTACTGCGGCTCTTATCCCTTGCTGTGTAGGTTTTCATTGTGGGCCCACATCCTGTTATTGGTTTTAACAAGTTGATGATTTAATGGTGTCCTTCCAGTTCTGCTCTGTGCACATAATGAAGGGAACGACACAATGAGGTGCTTATTCACTTATTCTAAACACCCCTCCCCCATAATTTCACTCCAGTACGACTCGCGTGAGGTGAAGTCACTCTTTGACATTACAACTACATACACAGCCTCTTATTCACCATAAGTCCACAGGCGTTTTTTTTTAGTGCAGACTTGACCAAAAAACAGCCTGAATGCTCAATAAACCTGCCCAATCCTGAAATGGAAATCAGAGACATTTCGAAGTCCCTGCCTCTCCGGAGATCACAGCGGTGACGGGCCCTTGGTGTGCCAGGTTGAAGGGGTTGCTCTGCGCGCCATCTGTGGTCTCCATCTCTGTGAACAACGTAAAGACAGAGACACCAGGACTAAATTTTCAAGGGCGCACGTGTGTCTCATCATGACATTGTGTGTGTGTGTGTGTGTGTGTGTGTGTGTGTGATATTTGGGGCACGGCTCAGCTACAGGCAAATAACATCCTCATCAGTTTCTCTGGCCTGAATGTGTTCTCGGGAGTCTGCTCGCGATGACACCATCCCACACGGCTGCTTAATTATTCAAGTACACTGAGTGAAAGGGAATCACCAGGTTCAGTATACTCATGAGGGGGGAAAGAAAGACACAGATGGCAAGCAAAGAGGGCTATAAATGAGACAAAAGTGAGAGATTAAAGCTTACTCCCTCTGAGTTAGAATGAAGCACCTGCACATAAACTGAGATCCTAGCAGCGTATGCTCGAAGTCAAGACAGCTGAGCCCCCTGAGAGTGTATCTTCCAAGATGATTTACAACCCCTGTCAGACACAATGAAATAAAACTGGGTCAGCATGATAAAATATACCATAACCATACAGTTGATGAATCAAAAAGCTTTGTGTGAGAACAGGGGGATAACTTAACTAAAGTCATAAACTTTGTTCTGTAGTTAATTTTTGGAGGAAAGCAATAATATACATTAATAGCTGATATCGCGCTCAACGGCTGTTAAGACTGAAAGGAAACACTTAAGATTCAGCAATAAAAGCTTTGCAGATACCGGACTAGGATTACAAACTAAATGCCTGACATTCACGTAATATAACAGATTAATTCATACAGCTCCCATTGCATGCCCCCATGATGCATTACTCTTGTTTTAGCTGCACAGGCAAATTGAAATCACTGTGTTTGCCAGTGTGGGGTCAGGGCATGCGTGTGCGCATGTGATGCTGTGTGCGTTTTTGTTTTTCCTGTGTGCAGTTGTATAGAAATATCTGTGGTATTGTCATATTATGTGCTGAGGTGTCATTACATAATAGAGCTGGCTGGAGAGAGGGAATGGCGGGTGGGGGCTGTGGGGTGTGCAGGGCAGACGGCTCATGGGAGGGATTCAGGTTGGCCACGGGTGGTCGTAGCAGAGTGGGTAAATGTGAGAGACAGTGGTGTGTGTGGTGTTTACTGTCAGGTTAATCATTTGATTATCCACAGATTAAGGTAGCATTATTGTAAATTTAATGAAAATAATTACCCATGTTGGGTTTTTTGTTTTGTTTTTAGCCAAAATCAGAGTTAAAACCGAGAGAAGAGCTTTATATGTAAACCTGGCATTTAGCAACTCTTGTACTACTTTTAGGCTGGTCAGTGAGAAAGTGAAGCCCAACAATTTCAGCCATTTATGGAGGAAAAAAATACCAGAACCTTTTTAAATTTGATTATTTCCTGTATTTCTCTTTTTTTTTAAAAACATATTATTTGAAGTCATGTTTAGATTTTGCTTATTTGTCTCACTATGGCTTCCACTTTCCTATTAGAGAAGGTACCATAATTACAAAAAACCTCAATAGTTTTGGAGTCTTTTAGCTCATCTATCTTCATCAGACTATCCTTGAACATTCAGATGTCACCCACTGGTTTTGGAGTATGCATTTTGAAGCTTCAACTAGCTTTTTGGCTGCTGACATGTTGCTATTGTTTTTTGAGCAAGACATGACCATATGCGAATGAGATGATGAAGCGTCAATAGCAAGCTGATTCATAAACTGTACACGTGCATGGCACAGACACAAATATAGACTCATTAGTGTTAATCAACAGACTAACAACATACTACAATTTTACTCACCAGAACTGAAGTGCAGATGTCTTGGATGTTGATCTCTATCACCCAGCAAACCATATTATGTAATTTTATTAAAGACACCAACCGCAGAGACCATGTTTATTTCAGTAACAACGGTGTTGTTTTGTAAACAAAAGGAGTTTTTGTTGTATTATTCAAATGCCTCTAACCCACAGTTGAGGCTAAATGTACAACATTCAGTTATTTAGCATTATATTTAACTGTAATTATGTGCTTCACTCCCCACTGTCCTGCTTTTTTTCTCCTCTATCACTGCATGGATATCTCCAGACTATTTATCTCAGCTTTGTCTTAAACGATAAACAGCATTTACGATAAACAGCATTCTTGATAAATTTCCACCTGGGTTCTGTGAAGGACAATTAACTGAGACGGCTCTTCTCAGACTATCTAATGATGTTTTGGCGCAAAGTGCCACAGGAATTGTTCTGTCCTCCTTATGTTGGACCCGACTTTAGCCTTTGACAGTTGATCACCAGATCTTGCTTGACAGGTTGAGGTATTGGACCAGTGTGTTGGGATCTGCCTTACGCTGCCTTCATATCTTTCTGATCGTTCTTTTTCCGTGCCTGCTTCAAATTACAGGTCTTCCTTAAGTCATCTTCATTTTGGTGTACCTCAGGGTTCTGTTTTGGGGCCCATATTATTTCTGGTTTACATGCTCCCTCTTCAGCACATTTTGAGCACTTTTAAAGACCTTTCATATCACTGCTACACAGGTAATATTCAGTTTTATATCTTTTTTAAGCCTCATGACGTTCGAAACTGCATGTGTTACACTGTGTAAAAAGCTGGATGGATAAAATGTTTTCTTAACTTAATAAGGAAAAAAAATGAAATTCTTGTTTGTGCTCCAGAAAAGCATACAACTCTAGGAAACTCTTAGTGCATTAGACTCTTAGTTGATTAGACTATTCCAAGCCTTCCATCAGGAACCTCTGGGCAAATTTAGATTCTGGTTTTACTTTACTTTGGTCATGTTCAGTCATTGGTTCATTTATGTTTTTATCACTAACGAAATATTGCCAAATAGTACTATCTCACAAACAGAACTGGAAACTGTTGTTCATGCTTTTGTTTCTTTGAGACTGGATTAGTGTAAATCATCACCACTTATTTAGTGTATATCTGTGTGTACATAGTGTATATATTAGTGTAATTCATTATTGACCAGCCTACACAAAGCATCATTGGACTGTTTGTAGATGCTGCCAGACTTCTGAACAAATCACCAAAGTTTTCTCATGTCACACTGCTACTCTCCCAGCTCCATTGGCATCCCATTGACTCGAGAATACATGTCAAGATTTTGTTTCTCACTCACAGGGCTCTGAATGGTCAAGCACAAGCATACATCTGTATGTCCTTAGCAGATCCCTAAGGTCATCTGACTGAGGCCTGCTGTGCCACATAAATGTGATAGAGCCTTCTCTCAGTTGTAGCACCAGGACTCTGGAACTTTCTCCCTTTTAGTTTTAGGTCTGCAAACTCTGTTCAGCTTTTTTAAAAGCAACTAAAAATCTTTTACAACTGCTTATAATTAACTATTTTGATGTACTAATGTCTGATGTTTTTTGTTTGCTTTTGTTCAGCACTTTGTAATCAATATCTTTAAAGGTGCTACATAAATAAAGTTTTTACTTTGTGGGGTAGTGGGGAGTGTGGTGAAGTGGCAGTGGGGAAAATAATTATTTGATCATCTGCTGAATTTGAAGGTTTGCTCACTTACAAAGAAATTAACAGTCTCTAATTTTTATGGTAGTTTTATTTAAATGGACAGAGACCGAATATCAATCAAAAATCCAGTAAAAAAAACCCACATTACATAAAAGTTATAAATTGATTTGCACGTCACTGAGTGCAGTAAGTATTTGATCCCCAAGCAAAAAATTTGTTACTGTTGGCAAGCACAGTGGGAAGATATTTTTTGTAATTGGTCACCAGGTTTGCACACATCTCAGGAGGGATTTTGGCCCATTCCTCTTTACAGAAACTCTAAATCATTTAGGTTTCTTGGCTGCCACTTGGCAACTTGGACCTTCAGCTCCCTCCTCATATTTTCTCTAGGACTGAGGTCTGGAGGCTGGTTAGGCTACAAAATTACGTTAGTATGCTTCTTTTTTAGCCACTCCGCTATTGTCTTGGCGGTATGTTTTAGGTTGCTTTTAGGTCACTGTAATGATAGAAGACCCATCCACAACCTATCTTCAGTGTTCTGGTGGAGGGAAGGAGGTAAAAGCAGAAGAATAGCCCTATAGCATAATGTTTCTCCCTCCGTGTTTGACAGTGGGGATGGTGTTCCCTGGGTCATACTAGGTCATTTAGATGTTCAGTGGCAAAGATGGGTCTGCACATGTGCCTTCTTGGGCAGGGAGACCTTATAGTGCATTGTTTTACCAATTGTGTTCTAGGTGACTGTGGCCCATTTATATTTATTCAATTTCTGAATAATCACACCAACATTTGTCACCTTCTCAACAAGCTTCTTGCTGATGGTCTTGTGTAGATCTACAATCTTGTCCTTGATGTCATTTGACAGCTTTTTTGGTACTGGTAGCCAAAGTTGGATAGAAAAAACTGATTCTGTGAGCAGGTGTGCTTTCTAAACATAGCGAGTTAATTTCAAATTGACTGAATGTAATTTGTGTGCCACATGGACACGCATGCAATTTGTGGGAGGCAGAATTCTGAGTGGCACTTATTTCAGTCAATGGCATGCAAATCAATGCATAACTTTTATGTGATGTGTTTTTCTGGATTTTTGGTTGATATTCTGTCCCCTCTATTAAGATAAAAATTACCATAAAAATTAGCAACCATGCATTTTTTTGTAACTCAAAGCAAAATGTACAAATTCAGCAGGAGAATCAAATTTTCCCTACTGTACATTTAGTTGACTTTTTGACAACTGAAAGCTTCTCTGTTTAACCACGTTTTCTATTGAAATTCTATTATTAATTATATTTTTATTGTCTTTTTTTTATTTTTATGTCTTCTACCATACTTTTATATTGCTAGCACTTTATAAATAAACATCACTTACTTTGTATTTTGTCACTTTCTTTTTTGTCTTTAGGTTTGTTTAAAAAGAATTTGAAACACTTGTCTGGTTCCCCCTTAGCGAGGTCAGGCCTCTCCTAGTGTCACTGCAAACTTTGCTCATTGCAACTGCTGTAGTTTAAAGTTTGTTTGGCCTGGCATGCCTGGTGGAAAGCATTGCCTCTGTCTGTCAGGTCCAGCTGCCTGTGTCAGTCAAAGAGTCCATGAACCTAACTCTAGTATCCAGGTGGCTCTATACGATAGTTGCCTGATAGATATTGTTAGAAAAGGGCCAAAACATCCCTCGGGATTAACTTCTTTTTGGAGTGGGCCTAAAGTGGCCACTGGAGGAACTACTGCAGTTTTTGGCACTTCCATGCTGGCATCAGTTTTCAGCTCCAGAGGCAGCTACATTTGTACAACACATAAAATGGAACAATAGTCACTGCTACTTGCAAATGTCACTAAATAACTGACAGCCAACAAGGTCAATTTTGCCAGCAGCAGTTATTCTTGGGCAATATATCAGTGAATACCTTAGTCTACGGAGCTTGGAAAGAACTTCTTTAAGTTGCTTGAAGATGTTTCACCTGTCATCCGAGAAGCTTCTTCAGTTCTAAGGTCAAATGGCGGGGAGTCCCAGATTTAAACCCAGTGGGAGTTTCCCCCCAAAGAGGCACAAAAGGACCCCCTGATGATCCTCTACCTAATCACGTGAGCCAAGGTGTGAAAATGGGTGTGGGTCACAATCAGCCAGGGTTTTGGGTGAGCTACTTGTGAAACCTGGCCCCACCCTATCATGTGATTTCCTGAGGTCAAATGGCCCAGGGTGTGAGTGGTTGTTAAGGCGTCTGGGAAGGGAACTCAAAACTGGATTATAGATGGCAGACAGCTGGTGTCGTAAGCCATCGCCTCTGTTCAAAGATGGCCGCTCACAGTGGACATAAATGGCTTCTTTCACTCCTCTTTCAAACCACCTGTCTTCTCTGTCCAAAATGTGAACATTGGCATCCTCGAAAGAGTGACCTTTGTCCTTTAGATGCAGATGAACTCCTGAGTCTTGTCCCGTGGAGGTGGCTCTTCTATGTTGTGCCATGTGCTTATGAAGTGGCTGTTTGGTCTCTCCAATGTGTCCCACACCTGTTTTCACACCTTGGCTCATGTGTTAAACTATTTTGCTTAAATGATGGTAAAATACATTTAATTTTCAATTGAAATAGTTGCTGAATATTTTTCTGCAATTCAGCTAATATATAAATCATTAGACTGTTTCAGATCAAAACATTGCATTGCAACTTGCGTTCAGCAATTTAAACAAAGAATAATTTACGACACTCAATAACTAAAACAAGTGATCAGTAAGACCTTGTTTTTGGGAAAACTAAATATATGACATTCTGATTTTCCTCAAGGTCACGGAGAAAAATGGTTTCAAAGTGAAAACAACAAAAGGCGTTTGTTGTGGTGGAAAAAGCATGTAATCAAAATGCCTCAGATTTCCATGTATTATTCTGTGGTCCTAATTAGAGGCTTCCTTTACACTACTTCCATATTCACACAACTTGGGTTGTAGTGTGCTTGTAAACATGGACCTAAATATTAAGTACTTGGGTGATGAATCGGCAGATGATGACGATGGAGGTGTGCTGTTCGGTAGGAGTAAATGAATGCACCCCTAAAGACTAGCTATCATTTTGGTGATAGAGAAAGAGCATGTGTTGTAACTAAAGCATGCTGCATATGCACCTCTTCCTGATGGTTGCACGTAGCATTAGCACTGTGAGCGAAAGCATGGATGTGGCTTGCTGTAGAGAGAGAGTCATTTGACAGCCTGGTATAGCCTCGGGCTCTCTGCAACTGATTCATGCTCACACTACTATAAGTGCACGCAGTTGACCCACATCATGCAAAGGGAGGGAAAAAAGTCAGGAGGCGGGCGTTCAGGGGAAGGAAATGGAGATCATCTGATAATCTCATGTTTTTACCAGGGGACTGGGTTCACGACTGAGCTGCAGTTAATAATTAGGCAATATTTATGACTAGTTTGAGTTCTGTGAAAATCATAGAAACACTGCGCTTTTAATATGAAGACAAAGCCCTGTCATGAACCTTGTAAAGGAGAAGAATGTGAATACTCTCTGCCAAAGCTCTTCTTCAGCTATTCAATTTGGATTTTTATTTGCAATTCAGATCACTCTCTTAGTTCCCAGAATGTAAAACATTAGTTTTAATCCAGCCTTAACTAGTTTTGGTATTTGAAGTTGCCAGGGGAAAGATTTAACCTCTTAACAACCACCAAGTCACTGCTGATCCACTTAGTGGTAGGCTTATGCTAAATTTTACCAGCAAGATAAAGAAGCATAGTCTCAGAAACTAGAAGACATAACCTTCTAAAGCTGGCATCTCACACACATTTAGACTTTACAACTGCTTTGCTATAAGACTTCAATTTGAATGTGTAAACTAGAAGTGTAGAACTGAACCTAACCATAACCCCATTATTTCAGTACCTAATTATTCCTATTACACCTAATGTTCAGCTAGAGTTTCTATAAATATATTGCTCTGCAATTACATGATGCCAACAACTTGAAAGTCATTTAGCTTAGTTTGATTTAAATGGACAAAAGACTGCGTGTATCACCAGACAAATCTGCTACAAAAAAAAATTGTAAGAACTTTTTTTATATATGTTTTACTTCAACCATCATTTTGTGCTGTTGGAGAATTTTCCCTTAAATTAAAATCCAGGATCCAAAGACTGTCGTGGCTCTCTTATAATATGACCCAAGCTAAATAGGCAGATTCATTAATGTGTTTTCGCTGGTGAAAATGAAAACTGATTGGGTTAGTTGAAGGAAAATGGGCTTGAAAGCGAACATGTCAGGACTGTGATAAAACGCAGTGTGCATAGTCACACCCACAGGACAGTTTTAATTCTAGAAAAACCCTGAGCTATGGGCATAATGCTATAACGACACAATGTTAACGTGGTCAAGGACGAACTTTAACGGATAAATGAATTCCCTTAATCCTCAGATTTTCAAAACTATTTGGGAGAAATACGTTTTACCTTGTGGAGAACATGGTTATTTCCATACATGTGCAGATAGGTGGAAACACCGCACACTTGAAATGAAACGACTCTGCGAAAAAGTCCACGAAGAAGAAACTGCATCCATTTCCTGTTCCGGGGCTTGAAAGAGAAACGTCGTGCGGACGCGCGACTAAACAGAAAGTTTTGCAGAAAACTTGGCACGTTGAGTGTTTTACGCGTTTAAGTCTTCATCGTTTTTATTTGACCTCCACGGCTTAAACGGGCTGACTACGATAGAAGAGTAATCTAAGGTTTGTAAGCCTCATGAAGTAGTTATTTCCCGGTGATGGTAGCTCGCGTACAGCGGTGTGCTAACGTTAGTTAGCATCTAACCAGGGAGGTTTGGCGGATGTGATTAATTTAACAATGTATGTTGCTACTGGCTGGCGCTTTAATTTAATCAGTCTGACTTAACACTCATCAACTAACAAAGTGCAGCAAGGTCTGAGTGACTGACTGTTGATGTGGGAGTTTTTATTAGTTGGAAACTGGTGAACGTCTGTGTCAGAGCAGCGGTAGCTAAGTGGATAAAGGACGGTGGGTTTTGGAGCTCATGTTTGGGACTATCACATTTGTGTGATATATGACTAATCAAGGCCAGAAATCACGAAGATATTTAAGTGATAACCATGCTCAGTAGCGATAATCCATGACATAAGTATTTGATGTTCTGCAGGATTGGAGGATGTCTCTTCCAAAGCGGGAGGTGGAGGAGTTGAGGCCATGGGTGGAACGCACTGTGAAGAAGGTGCTGGGTTTCTCGGAGCCCACTGTGGTGACTGCAGCATTGCACTGTGTGGGAAAGGGACTAGACAAAAGGAAGACCATAGGTAAGTACGGAGAAATATCTCTTATGTACTTACAGATCTTGTGACGATTCAGTTCAGCCAAAAGTGCCTCTGACATCAGAGGTATATCCCAGGGTGATTTGTTTTACCGGGTTACAAAATGCACCCATCATTGAAGAGAAACGAGTCCAACAGCAGTCTGAAAACCTATCTGGCCTTCCTAAGAAGGCCAGATAGGAGTATTTGGCATGACTACCAAGCTGTGGGTTCTTAACACAGTGCAGACAGCCAGCCCACAAAATGATGGTGTGAGAGTATCTGCGATGTAGCTATCAGCAGGGCTTGTTTGCAAAGGTAATAGATTTGCTGTCCAGTTAAAATACTCCAGTCATTTGTTCATTCAAATGAAAGATTGTGAGTACAAAGAAAGCTGCCTATTTGCTTTTATTTGTTTGGTTGTTTATTTATTTATTTCATCTGTCTGGGAAATATTTGCTCGGTCTGTTAGACTGACTTCTGCAGGTGCTGTAGTTTAAATGTCAGTATTGGGTTTTCATAGTGTATATTTTTATGTGGGTATTTAAGCCATTCTGTGGTAACATTATTTTCTTTTCAGAGTGTTAATTATTTCATATTTATCGTCCTCAGACCAGCTGCGTCCTTTTCTCGATGACTCTGCTGGAGGCTTTGTAGAGCGACTTTTTGAAGCCCTCGAGGAGAGCCGCAGCACACGTGGGAACAAAGGATCTGGAGAAAAAAACCGCAAGAGAGAACTTAAGGTAGCCTAACATCATAGCAAATGTTCATGTTTTATATTATCATAATATAACTTAATAAGTAGATCTGAAGGTGGGGAGTTTTCTGACAAGAAAACCGACTATATTAACACGCTCACATGCAAAAGTGACCCGTTTAAAGAAAAATAAATACATTGCATTCAATGCATGCAGTGATTAGACTGATTGTGTTAAGCCTCAGTTTGATTAACTTAAACCTCAATGTAAACATCCCCTTACACTTCCTTTACTCCTGCATTAAGCTTAATTGAGGTTTCACTCAGTTTCACTTAACTTTAGTTCTACATGGACTGCACTGATACAATACTGATTGTTCTTACGTAAACTTTAATTGCTGCATAAGATATTTATTTTTTTTTTTTATTGGTGTTTGTGTGTTTGACGGCTGTACTCAGGATGTGTTTGGCGAAGAGGCTGACACAGGCGCAGTGCGAGAAACTCCCGAGCCAACAGATGGCACAACGGCAAAGAGGAAACGAGTCCCCCGTTTTGAGGAGGTGGAGCAACCTGAGGTGATACCTGGACCTCCATCAGAGAGCCCCGGCATGCTCACCAAAATACAGGTACATAATACTTGGTGCAATAGACAGTAGACAATATATATATATATATATATATATGTGTGTGTGTGTATATGTAAGTATAGTCGGTTTATTTTCTTCATCAGTCACCTCTGAATCCTTTTGCTGTCCTAACAGATCAAACAGATGATGGAAGCAGCCACAAAACAGATCGAAGAAAGGAAGAAACAACTAAGCTTTACTGCTCCAGCTCCTGCTACAACAGTAATGAGATTTCTTTCCCATAAAAATACATACGGAATAAAGAACTGCAGTCTTTTCAGGTTTTAAATTCTATTTAAAACCTTTCTAATTTCTTTCTGACTCTAGCGGTTGCCTGTTCCCACTCCACAGTCACAGCTGGATGGCCCTCCACTCTCTCGACTTCTTGGCACTGCTGGTGCTGCAGCAGCTGGTGGTGGGTCATCCATCGCTCCCTACCAGGCTGCCAGCTTCATGAATGATGCAATTGAGAAGGCCCGTAAAGCCGCTGAGCTACAGGCTCGCATTCAGTCCCAGTTAGCTATGAAACCTGGCATCCTCGGAGTTTTGGGGAACACTGGGCCACAAAATTTTGTGGCACTAGCTAATCTACATGCCATGGGGATTGCTCCACCGTAAGTGATGTCAGACTATAAATATAAGATTTTAAAATGTGCACAAGACATGAAAAAAGTAGGTGATGTCTTTGTGCTCAATTGACATTGAACTGCTTTCTGTTTATGTGTAACTACAGCAAAGTAGAACCCAAGGAGGTGAACAAACCGACACCTCTTATCCTGGATGAGAAGGGAAGAACTGTAGATGCCAGTGGCAAAGAGGTTGAACTCACACACCGCATGCCTACGCTCAAAGGTACATACATGGATACACTGATCCAGTATTTGTACACAAACATACACAATGTGTTTTCTTTGTTTTGATATTCCACAAAACATTTTTCTTTCCCTGTGTAGCTAACATTCGAGCAGTAAAGAGAGAGCAGTTCCGCCAGCAGCTGAAGGAGAAGCCCGGAGATGACTTGGAGTCCACATCCTACTTCGACCAGCGTGTGCCTGTTCCTCCAGCTCAGCGTGCACGCAGGACTTTCAAATTCCATGACCAGGGACGCTTTGAGAAGATTGCTCAGAGAATTAGAACTAAGGTTGGTACAACCCTGTCCCAGTTGTTTGAAAGAGAATATTTAGAATTTAAGAAAAAGAAAGTCGTCATATGTCTCTTGTCTCTCTTGTATGGATCAGGCCCAGTTGGAACGGTTGCAGAATGAGATTGCCCAGGCAGCAAAGAAGACAGGAATCCAGGCTTCAACCAAGCTAGCACTGATTGCTCCTAAAAAGGAGATTGGAGAGGGACAGGTTCCCAATATTGAGTGGTGGGACTCTTTCATCCTGCCTTCCAACATAGACATGTAAGAAATCAAAATTTGATCTTAAACATTGAGTTTGCTATCAGGAATGTGTGGAATACATGGCAATAATAATGTTTTTTTTTTTTTTTTTTGAATTTTAAGAAATTCAGACACAAAATTTGAAGCGTTAGAGCTGTTTGGTGTGACCAGCCTGGTGGAACATCCTGCCCAAATGAGCCCACCAGGTAAGTCTATAGGAGGTAAAATGTGTAAGTTAAAAGAGATTTTGTCCTACAAAATCATTATTAACTGTTAAAAATGTCCTTATGCCGTAATGTGCAGAAGTCTTGAGCCACCACTCATTTTAATTAATTAATATTAATATATTTAGCTATTAAAATGGTAAATGGGTACAGTGAGTTATTGAAACTTGTGCAACCATACATACAAATACAGTATATTAGGGCTAAACAGGGGCTTTACAATTCTAATAGGCTTGAAGGTCAACATGTGGTATGAGCAACTTGCAACTAGTCTTTAGGAAAAGTTCTCCAGGGTTCTTGAAGAATATTCAAAGCTCTTCTTTGGATGTTGGCTGTCTTTTGTTCTGCTCTCTTGTCAAGATAATCCCACACTGCTCCGGATGGGGCTTTGGGGAGTCCAGTCCATGACTGATGGTGTTCCACTGTGTCTTTTTCTGTCCAGCTTTTGCTGCATTGGCAGCGTGTTTGTCAGCATTGTCATGCTGAAAAATAAAGCTGCTGTCAGTAACATGCTTTCCAGATGGCACATTCATAGTCTATCAAAATCTCAGCAATTTTCTGTGTTCGTTATTCCATCAGTTTACGAATGGAATTTCCCAGCACCACAGACTGAAATACAGCTTGAAACCATAACAGAGCCTCCGCCGTGTTTTACAGATGGATGTAGACACCACCAATGTTCCCTCTAAGCTGCATGCGTGCGCAATTGCGTTCTGTTGGCACGGCCTCTGTGCACAGAAAATCTGCGTTACGCACAAAAAAAAAATCTAACCTGAATTGAAATTAAAATTAGAACTTTAACAATTGTTCTTTGCGGAGTGAGTGACTGGCTGCTCCCGTATGGGATTAGAACGATGCCACCTTCTCCCACAATCCAGCCAATGATGCGATTCATATTCGTATATACGCAGCTAATCAACGTCGTTGACAGGCTATGACAGCGTCCTTATGTGCCGACACCGGTGTTTTAGCTAGCAGCGTGGCTGATGTGGAGTGAAGCCACATTAATGACAACGTGTACAACCATTGGAGATGTGAGCAGGACAGACGGAACAATTGATGGAAAAAGTGTGGACTTTATACCAGTTTTTAAATTGTGTTGATAGACCACGTAAAACCAGTGTTATGATAAAAATATATGCAATGTTTGGTTTTCTTCCTGAATACTATCGTTGTTTATATTTACTGTGGGAAGAAATGGTAAAAACTGCATTTTATAAGGAAAACGCTCAAAAGCACTCTCCACCTGTGAGCAAAGACAAAACCAAAAACACCCACCCTTTCCTAT